AAAAAAAAAAAAACAGAAAATAACAAATGCTAGTGAGGATGTGGAGAGACTGGAATACTCATACACTGCTGGTGGGAATGTAAAATGGTATGACCATTGTGGAAAACAGTATGATACTTCCTTAAGAAGTTGGAAATAGAAATACTAAATGATCCAGCAATCCCACTACTAGGTATGTATCCTAGAGAAAAAGAGCTGTGATATGAAAAAGTACATGCATACCCATGTTCATTGCAGCACTATTCACAATAGCAAAAAGATAGAAACCACTTAAGTGGCCATCAACGGATAAATGGATAAACAAACTATGGTACATACACACAATGGAATACTACACAATGTTAGAGAATAATGATGACTCTACAAAACACCTCCTAACATGGATGAACCTGGAGGACATTATGCTGAGTGAAACTGGTCAATCACAAAAGGACAATTATTATGAGAGACCACTACTATGAAAGTTTTAAAAAAAAAAAAAAAAAAAAGTTTACACACAGGAAGAATTGTTTTTCGAAAGTTACCAGAGGTGGGAGGGGAAGGGAGGAAAAATCACCAACCAGAGGGTAGACATGTATTAACTTGGATGAAGGGAAAGGCAGTATACAATAAGGGTGAGTCAGCACAATGGAAGAACACAACAGTTAAAGGCAACTAAGGTGCATACTATTACATATACAATTCTGCAATAATAATAATAGTTTATGAGTGGATACATAGATAGACAACCAGTCTGAACAGGGATGGGAAGGCAAACGAGACTACACCCTTGCATATATATAGGTTTGATAGAGGCTATCTCTACCTATATATTGTTATGTGCTGCAATTATATCCATGCATGTAGAAGAGCATACAGGGGACAAAGCTATGAAAATGTCTTAGTCATAACCAAACACCTTAGGAGAATGAGTTGCTGGGTATGGAGGCTCAGGACCATAGTCTCAGGGGACACTAAGGTCAATTGACATAACATAGTCTGCAAAGACAATGTTCTACATTCTACTTTGGTGAGTAGAGACTGGGGTCTTAAAGGCTTGTGAGTAGCCATCTAAGGTGTCACTATTAGTCTCTCCCCATCCAGAGCAAAGAAAAGTGAAGAAAATCAAAGATGCACGCAACAATTAGTCCAGCTTCCATAATCCTAAGACCAGAAGAACTAGATGGTACCCAGCTACCAGTGCTGACAGCTCTGAAAGGGATCACAGTAAGATGTTTCAGATAGAGTGGGGAGAAATGTGAAACAAAATTCAAAATCATAAAAAGACCAGGGTTACTGATCTAATGAAGGCTAGTGAAACCCCTGAGACTATGACCCTTAGACACCCTTCAAGCTAGGAACTGAATTCATCCCCATGGCTCAACTGGCAGCCAAATGACAGACAGGCCTATAAGGTGAACAGTAATATCAGGAGGGCATGCACTCATTAGAACAATCAAGCATATGCAATCAAGAGGACAGCATTTGCCCTGGGACAGAGCTAGGAAGGCAGGATAGGATGAAAAGAAAGGAGGCAGTGGAAAGAATGTTGTTACAGTATAGGAATTTCAGTAAATGTCACAAAACTGTATGGATTGTTGAATGGAAAACCAATTTGCTTTGTAAACTTTCACCCAAATCACTATTTAAAAAAAAAAAAAAAAAAGTGAGTTTAAAAGTTGATATCTAAACTAACTAAATCCAAAAGAATTATTTCAATAATAAATTGCTAAAATAAAAAAAAAAAAAAACAACCCACTGCCGTTGAGTTGATTCAACTCACAGCGACCCCTCCTTGGGTTTCCAAGGCAGTATCTCTATGGAAGTAGATGGCTTAATCTCCCTTCCAAGGAGTGGCTGTTGTGTTTGAACCTCCAGCCTTCTGGTTAGCAGTCAAATGCCTTAGGCACTACAGCACCAGAGCTCCCAATAAAACGCTAAGTAATAAAATATTTTGTCAGGCTCTAGTTGCTAGAGTTGATGGTGCCATGGATTCAGTAGAACGTGGCATGGTGATCACGGTAGACAGAGTGCAGCCCCCACTCAGAGGAGTTCTGTTGGCCACCTGAAACCACGGCCAACAGCCTTGATGGAGCCACTTTCTCTCGCTCTCTCTCTTATGGAGAAAAGTCAAATGACAGGCACAAGCGGGAGCGGAGTTATAGTTGACGGTCCTCCCCTCTTCCAGATTTGGGCCAGAATTTGGGCCACAGTCCTGACAGCTATTGTAAGCTGCATGACCAGCCAGTCACAGTCTCTCGGGAACTCACTTTCTATCTGTAAAACAATGTCCATAGACTAGATGATCTCTAAGACCCCACCAGGTTCTGAATACTATGATTGTGTGACTGAATGACCACACACACACACAAATTTGGGTTGGTACGTAAGGGCCAACAAAGAGGAGCTGTGATGCCTCTTCTGAGTGTATTGGAAAATAAGAGATTTTTACCTGACTAGGTCAGGAGAGGTTTTGCACAGAATCAAGGGTTGACAAGCTGCTTTCTATGTCATGAACACCTTGACCAAAGAGGAGAGACCAGAAAGGGTGAGTGACTCATCCAGGAGCACACAGCAGCTCAGTGGTTGTCTCAACTTCAGCTCATATGAAAGCTGTGGGGAAGGTTTCTGGGAACTCCCAAGGCTCAGGCCTGAACTTAGTTAACTAGCTTTGGTGTAGGAAGTATGTCTGAGGGTCGGGATATGTGATACATGAAGTCACAGAAGGAGTGAGGAGGGCACATTCTCTGGGTGGAGCAGAGGCACAGTCAAGCCCTCTGAGTTCCTGTCTCTTTCTATGTGCTGAGTCTGGGGGTGGGTCCCTTCATGGAGGCAAGATATGAGACCTGAGGTTGGAGAAGGCTGGTTGAGGGCAGAGTACCATGGTGCCAAGCAAGAACTCTCTCCTGGGAAAGAGAGGGACAGGCAGGTCCAGGGAAGCATTTTGCCTGGAGCCATCAGAAGTCTACTTGATGTTAGAATCAGAGAGTAGACAGGTGGGTGAGTGGGTAGGCAGGCAAGAGTAGGGTCTATGAATCTATTGCCCACCCCACACCCTACTTCATTTAATTTACTCCAGTCTCTTATAGAGAGTTGGGGTAATTATCTTACCTTCATTCAGGAGAATGAGCACCTGCTGATGGGGTAGGCACTGGGAATACATCAGAAAACAAAACCCACAAATATTCCTGCTCTCTCGGAGGTTCTGTTCTATTTGGGTCACTTCCTTCCCCTTCCTTCTTTTCTTCTTTCTCCTCCTCCTAACTGCATTCTCAGCTGCAAAATACTTACCCGTTCATCACCTGACTCCATCTTCACAATAATTTTGTGAGATAGGCAGTATTATTCCCAATGCCCAGGAAAGAAAACTGAGGCTTGGAGTTTGACCCAGGAGTGTAGGGTGTGTGTGTGTTGGGGGAAAACTCTGCAGAATAGGTTTTAGTCCCAGCTCAGACACTAACTTGCTGAACCACCTTAGATAAGTCACTTGCCTTCCCTGTGCCTCAGTTTCCCCTGTTGATACAGCAAGAGGGATTCCATTCCAATTCTGTAGTCTCCAGTCTCTCTCAGATCTCTGTTCCCAGGACTGTGACTTGCCCAAGGACCTGCTAGACAGGAGAGATAGAGCAGGGCTCAGAACCCAGGCCTCTTGACCCCACTCTGTGCCCCACCCTGCCTTTGGGCCCCAGGGAGACAGAAAGAAGAAGCGCTTCTCCAGTAGCAAAGCTGGTGGGATTAGGGAAGAGCTGGGGGGCAGACTTGGGAACTGCCAGGCCCAAACATCTCCTGAGCTCCAGTACCCACAACAGCATCGATGGCGGAAGGTGGCATTGCCCAGAGGCTGGGCTGAGTGGGTACTGAGGCCAAGAAGTCACTTATCTGGTATTGCAGCCTTCTGGAGCCTGCACGGCTCACTGCCCACAGAAATTCCCTGATTCTGTGGCCTGGGTGCTTCTGACTGTGGCCTGGGTGCTTCTGAACTCTGGGGGTGCTTCTGGAACCCTGACATATGAGTTTGGGGAGACCTATTGCCCTCCTCAGACATAGTATTACTAATAATGACATATATTGGGGGCTTACTGTGGGCCAGGTGCTGCTCTGAGCACTTTGCATACATTTCTTTCAATCCAAACCCCAATCCCACAAGATGAATTTTGTTATTATCCCCATTTTACAGATCAAGGCAAGAAAAGTTAAGTCACAGAAATGGAACAGGGTGAAGCTGGAATGGAAGACCTCAGCTTCCTCAGTTGACCCCAGGTTGACTCCATCACCCAGGCCCATGGTCCCAATGGCCACTGAAACCATCCCCCTCCCTCCAGGCTATGGGAGTTATTTGGCTATGGTTCCAGGGAGGAGGTAAAAAAGCTTAATCACTTATGGATGATTGACTGCAAGAAAGCAAGCACAGAAAAAGACATAAAATCTTTATGCCTTGGAATGTTTGTCACAAGCTAATCAGTTGTTTTCCATCCCCACCAAGAAGGAAATATTGGAGGTCAGACAGTAGGAAGAACTTCCCAGTTATCAGAAAGGGTAGCTTTGATATCTCTTATGGTCAATTTTGGGTAAAGTATTGATACTGCTTTGGCCAACAGTTTGAGACAGAGAGAGGAGGCTGGACACATCCCCTACAGGGGCTCCCATTCATAGAACCAGATGGGGTGAGAGTCAGGGTAGGGAGACGCCGTGGGGCAGCAGCCCTGGGATAACTGAGGGAACAAACACGGAAAACCAGGGGACGTCAGTCCTTATCTGGAGTTCAGTAATGGGGAACATTAGTCAGCTGTGAAGGCCTAGATGGCATGATAGGCATGCGGGTGGGCCGGTGGGGAGTGGGGGAAGGGCAGCCATTGAAGGGAAGGGGGCAGGTTTGGCCTAAACTCCACCTCTGCCCCACGTGCCCAAATTCAGGCTGGACGGACCCTATAAATGCCCGAGACTGGGCCTCCCCAGAGACCCTGGGAAACGGCGCAAGAAATCCGCAAACCTGCTGCCCCCAGACCACTAGGCCAGCCCAGAGCATGTGGGAGCTCCGGTCCATAGCCTTCTCCAAGGCTGTGTTCTCCGAGTTCCTGGCCACACTCCTCTTCGTCTTCTTTGGCCTTGGCTCGGCCCTCAACTGGCCACAGGCCCTGCCCTCTGGGCTGCAGATCGCCATGGCTTTCGGCCTGGCTATTGGCACCCTGGTGCAGACTCTGGGCCACATCAGTGGGGCCCACATCAACCCCGCTGTGACTGTGGCCTGCCTTGTGGGTTGCCATGTTTCCTTCCTCCGAGCCATCTTCTATGTGGCTGCCCAGCTGCTGGGGGCTGTGGCAGGGGCCGCCCTACTCCATGAGCTCACACCACCAGACATCCGCGGGGACCTGGCTATCAATGCGGTGAGTAGCCAGAACTTCGCTCTTTACTCCTGGGGCAGATCCTAGGTGGTCTTTGCAAAAGATGGGATGGCAAGACCAGCTCTGGGTGACGATCTGGGTGGGGAAAGAGGGAGAGGGAGAGAGAAAGTATGAAGCCAGGAACACAACCACTAGAGGAGCAATAACGCCAGAACAGAGGCAGGACACAAACGAGTCTGTTGGTAGCTTCTGCTCCCAGCCTCGTAGAGGAAGAATAGCCTCAAGGCACCAATGATGCCTATGTTACAGTGAGGACTGGGCTAGAACTCATCAAGGGACAGAGTCCCAAAGCAGACATGTTTTTGATCTAGAAAGGACCTCGAAGTACTAGTCACAAGAATCTTCTGGGGAAAAAGGGACCAAATGGTTCCTCATCATTTATTGCATGCTAGACTCCGAAACCCAAGGAGGGGTCGCTATGAGTTGGGTCCGACTCGATGGCAAATAACAACAACAGACTCCATGGAAGGATCTCTGGTAGCTCAGTGCCTAAGGCATTTGACCACTAACCAGAAGGTTGGCAGTTCAAACCCACCAGCCATTATGCAGAAGGAAGATGGGCCAATCTACTTCCGTAAAGATTTACTGCCTCAGAAACCCAGTGGGGGTCACAATGAGTCAGAATCAACTCAAGGTCAGTGAGTTTGGTTTTTGGTTTTTGGACCCCCTGGCAGGTATTTCTCACAAGCCATGTACAACAACAGTCCTGCAAACAGGGATGGATATCCTCATTATTAAGGATGTAAAAACAGACTCAGAAGGGGATGTGTCAAAGTGTATTTGCTCTGTAGATTTTCACCCAAATCACAATTAAAAAAAGAAGAAGAAGAAGAAGAAGGAGATGTGTCAAAGACAGTTCTCAAGCCCAGGCTTGACTGCAAAACCCATGATCTTCCCAGCTGGCCAATGTTCCATCTCTAAGCCATCTTCTAAGTCTCATTCTGCAAACAAGGAAACTGAGGTTCAAAGACAGAGCATGATGGCTAAAAGTTCCACAGCTTGTCAGTATCAAAGAAAGGAGTAGAACTCAGAGGAAAGGTACAGGAGCAAGGTCTGTCTAGACCCTGGAGAAGGTCCCTGGAGTCAATGAGCTAAGTGCTGATTACATGATACAATGGCTAATTGGGCCACTTTGGGAGGTGAGGGTGATGCTATACTCCCCCTCTTTACACACTCCTCACCTCCCCTGGGCCTGTGCAAGGCCTGGGACTCTGAGTGGCATGGATGAGGAGGGAAGGTCTGTGCTCCTCTCACCACAACTCTCACTCTGCCGCCATTCCAAGCTAGGGCAACAGCTACCTCCTTAGGGTCCCTGTCAACCCCGTTTCCTGACCTGCTTTGTCTTTGGGCCACTGAATAAGAAGCTGTCCTGTCTCTGAAGTGCATTCAGCACAGTCCTGCATGGTCTCTGTGGCCATTGCCTCCTCTACACAAGTGATACTCGTGCAAGGGACAGAGATGTCCCAGTTGGAGAACTTCTGTCTTCTTCAAAATAGAAAACATTGGAGGCTGAGGTTTCAGAGCTGGGAAAAGGCTAGAGTGGCCAAGGTAGTGGACAGGCTGAGGGGTGTGCCCATTTCCACTGGGAACAAAATTAGTTCAGTTTGTGGCAAGGAGAGGTTCAATTAGACTGAAAGAGTAATTTACTGAGAGCATGGCCAAGAAAGCCTTGGGATGCAAGACTAGGGATACTCCTTCTCTACTAGCAGAGAACTGAGGATAGTAAGAGGCCATACAGCTGATGGGAAGCCCCAGAAGGGAAGGGTCTGGGAAAGTTCCCCAAAGCTCTTGCTTAGCATTTACCATCTTGAGGAATGGAGAAGAACCCTGCTTGGCTGGACTAGGGCAGTGGCAGGGCCTGGAGAAGGAACATGGAAGCTGAGAGTCATCACAACTCCACCCAATGTGGTGCGCAGCCCCAGAGGCCAGGGTGTAGGGCACAGGATGACAAAACCCAGTGTTGGGCACGGCCCAGTTACGAAATCACCTCTTTGCTTGGTCCTCAAGTTCTTTCCTTACCCAAGGCAGAGGAACCATGGGTACCCCACATGGGTGTGGAGGCATCGCAGTACAAGTCTCCCCTGCCCCAAGCCCAAACCCACAGAAGAAGCAGGGAGCAAACCCATAGTACAATACTGAAAACGCAGTGGGGAACAGGCAAAGTTTAGGGGAAAGTTGTATGCTAGATTCGTGGAGAGAGAGGGTATCCTATGACCATCCCCTAGACCCAAGGCCTCAAACGGCCAGCCAGCTCTGTTCTCTGACCACAGAAAGACTACAATCCTCTTATGACAACAGTATTTTATGACCTAGACAGAGAGGAAGTCCTTCCTGTTACCTGGCCAAAAGCTTCCTGCTACAGCTGAAACTTCCTCCTTTCAGGAAATAGAAAATCTGGATGGCAGCTTCCTTTTCTTCTCACACTTTAGGCACACAAGCCCAGCCCCTAAGCCTAAGGGCTATGGAGGCAGTTTTCCTACCTCTGGAGGACTATGGGTGGTCTCGAGGTCCATCCCTAGGGCCAGGGCCCAGAAGAAGTCTTCAGTAGCTTGGGCTAAGGTGGCTGATGAGCCTAGGTGTTCTGGCTCCCAGTCAGGGGGCTTCCCTGGAGGCTCAACTACAGGCAGGCAGGAATACGGAGCCAGTGAGGGGCTTGCTCAATGTCTCCCCTTCATACCCTCTCTCCCCCCAGCTCAGCAACAACACAACGGCTGGCCAGGCTGTGACTGTGGAGCTCTTCCTGACCCTGCAGCTGGTGCTCTGCATCTTTGCCTCCACCGATGACCGCCGTGGAGATAACCTGGGCAGCCCTGCCCTCTCCATCGGCTTCTCTGTGGCCCTGGGCCACCTCCTCGGGGTAGGTCCTGGCCATAGTTGAAGAAACAGACACGCAAACCACTCTAGAGACAGAGACATGGAAACCCAAAATGACAGACACAAAGACCCCCAGAGGGACAAGTATAACAGAGCCCCCGAGAGAGACAGACACATGGCCACCCCCTACAAGAGCTGACATCCAGACACCCCAGAGGACAGCTATCCCTCCAGCCTCAAATGAATACAGAGCCTGTAAAGATAATATAACCTTAATTGTCCACTGCATCAATTCCCTTTAGTTTGTCTCATCTCATAAACTTAGGCTGGTTGAGCTGAAGCATTGGAAAAGGGGGCAGTGGGGAGTGGTGAGGACTCCCTGCCCTGTCCTCATCTGCCTTCTCTCCCTGACCCCCACCTCTCATTGCAGATTCACTACACTGGCTGCTCCATGAATCCTGCCCGTTCCCTGGCTCCGGCAGTCATCACCGGCAAGTTTGATGACCACTGGGTAATGGCTGAAATTCCTTCCCCTCCCCAGAAACCCATCTCAGAGGGAGAACAAGGGCTGGAATAGCGTGGTCCAGTGTGGGGTAGGGGACTCAGTGGCTGTGCCCCAAACCTTTCACACACCTTGTGAGGCCAAGCAGAGCCTTGGATTCCACTTTGGTCTGACATCAAAGACTCGGTTTCCACATCTGTAAATTCAGGTAACAGTTCTTACCTCATTGGCATCCTAGGAACATAAAGTGAGATTACATATGTAAAACAGATCATACAGTGCCGGGCACTTAGAACGCAATAAATTTATTATTTATAATAAAACCATAAACCAAACTCACTGCCATTGAGTCAGATCCGACTCATAGCGACCCCTCCTTGGGGTTCCAAGGCTGTATCACTACGGAAGTAGATTGACCAACCTTCCTTCCTAGGAGTGTCTAGTGGGTTTGAACCACCAACCTTCTGGTTACCAGTCAAGTGCCTTAGGCATTATGCTACCAGAGTATGTGTGTGTGTGTGTGTGTGTGTATATATAATTATTTAGTACTTATCTAGTACTTAGTATGTGCTAGGTCTTTTTCTAAGTGTTTTGCAAATATTAACTCCTTTAGTCTTTATAAGAACTTCCAAAACCAAACCAAAAGCACTGCCATGGAGTCGCATCCGACTCATAGCGACACATCCTTGGGTTTTGGAGGTGATATCACTACTGAAGTAGATTGCCCAACCTTCCTTCTGAGGAGTGGCTGGTGGGTTTGAACTGACAACCTTGTGATTAGCAGTCATATGCCTTAGGCACTACACTACCACAGCTCCCATAACAACTTCAGGAGGTAGGTAATATTATCTTGAAAGTTTCAACATAAATACCCAGGGAGGGTATGTTCACAAGTAAGTGGTGATATCAGGATTCACATCCCAGCAGTCCAAGCAGAGTTTGCATGCTTAACCACCACACTAACCCATCTTCCTCAACAGTTAGCGTCATCATCACTAACTACCAAACCAGTTGCCCTCACTCAAGTCAGTGTTGATTATGGTGACCCCACGTGTGTCAGAATAGAACTTTGTTCCATAATTTTCAATGGCAGATTTTCAGTAGATCACCAGGTCTTTCTCGAAGATCTCGTCAAGAAATGAACCCTGGTGATGCTGTAGTTAAGAGCTCAGCTGCCTGGGGAAAAGTGGGCAGTTAGAACTCACCAGCCACTCTGCGGGAGAAAGGCTTGGCAGTCTGCTTCAGTAAAGATTGATAGCCTTGGAAACCTCTACTGGCCGTTCTACTCTGTCCTATAGGGTCACTAAGAATCGGAATGGACTCCACAGCAACCGGTAGCAACGTTAACCGTTTACACCACCCAGAGACCCCATCACTAACTACTTGAGAAAGTATCTTATTATAGTATACTAATCGCCTGTGAGACTCCTTTCCAACACAAAGGTACCCTTAAGTGGGGAGGGGAAAATGTCCCGGGCCCACACTGGGTTTTGCGAGCTTAGCGCAGACGAGGAGGGATTCAGTCCTCACACTGTACCCACCCCCCCACCCCGCCCCGCCCCGGCCCCACAACCCAGGAGCCGCCCGGTGCGCAGTGCCGAGCCTCCCCCTCCTGTCCCTAGGTCTTCTGGATCGGACCCCTGGTCGGTGCCATCTTGGGCTCCCTCCTCTACAACTACATCCTGTTCCCCTACTCCAAGAGCGTGTCGGAGCGCCTGGCCGTGCTGAAGGGGCTGGAGCCGGACACTGACTGGGAAGAGCGCGAGGTGCGGCGGCGGCAGTCGGTGGAGCTGCACTCGCCGCAGAGCCTGCCGCGTGGCAGCAAGGCCTGAGCGCGGCCGCCGGCCGGGGCCTCGAGGGCCTCCAGACGGAGGCACGGAGGAGCTCCGAGTGGCTGCCTGTGGGGCCAGAGGTCGCGCCGCGGGCTCGGGGGCACCCGCCATTCCCGCTGGACCGGAGGCGGAGGGGCCCACCCACCCTGTGCCGCTTCTCCCCCAGGTCGGAAGTTCGTCCACAATGCAGAGTAGCTACTTGCAGGACGCGCACTGCGCTGCCGGCCGCAGTGTGCAGAGTGGGGCCGGAGCGCGGGGTCGAAAGGGAGAGACCAGGGGCTTCTCTGTCAGTGAGCAGCTGGGAGCTTAATAGCTCCCCTGAGGCTGTAGGCGGTGAGGAGTTGATCCTCTGACTCCTCCAAGGGAGCTGGAGACTCGGGAACCCAGGTGGTGAGGGAAGGCGGGAGGAGGGGGGTGATCTGAAGAGCCTGAACCCGGGGACTGGGCGGGGCGAGCAGAGAGTGAACAGAACTTCGCCTTGTGTCTGGGAATGATGCATATGGCTTTACTAGTGTGCAAGTGTGTGCATCCTCCCGAGTGCCTCTCTGTCCCCACGTGCAGGTTGTGCATGCCCCTAAGTGTGAGTAGGTGTAGCCTCGGTGGTGTAAGTGCGCAAAGCTGGTGGCCTCTCAGTCCCCCATTGGTTCTTCAACCCTTCCACTCCCCTACCTGCAATAAATCCACTTCTCCTGCAGTCGGACGAGTCCTTGCTGCCAGTCAGCCCCAGGAGCTTTAAGAAAATGTTCCCCAGGAGAAGGGGAGGTCTGGAGGGCACTGATTTCCCACCCCACAAGCTGCAGCTCTGCCCCCCAAAAAACTTGCCAGGATACATTGCTGGAAGCAAAGAGATGCCAACCAGAGAATGGCTCCCCCAGAAGTGGCCTCTGGAGAATGGAGGGATGGGTGGCTCATGACCTCCTTTCTGCCTTGAGGGAGGCCCTCATCAAAGAAGGAAGCTGGCATGTGTGCAGGCCTGCATTTGTGTGTGTGAGTGTGTGTGCGTGCTATGTATACTGGAGACACCGACTTCATGAGGGGCAGACCCAGAGATTAGCCTCCTACTAAGGCAGAGAAAACAAAAGACCTTCGTGGGCCCCTGGCCTTTGTCTTGGAAGAGGGGGAGATTTGTAACTAGACACTTCTTGAAAGGAGACACTCATTTCGCAAGTGAGCTCTCTCACCCAGCACACACCTATAGCCGGCTGGGCAAGGCACTCAGGCATGCAGCCACGGGCACCAGGCAACACCCTCTATCACCCATCACAAGACTGTCCCCTTCCCCCAGGCAACAGCTCCTCCTAGCCAGGAATCTCTGTAACCCTTCCCTCCCTCCTTTCCTACCCTCAGCGGCAGTACCCACCATCCCACCTCCTACTACTGGACAGTTCTGTGAAGAGCCTGGCACTCTCAGGACCAACCCACACACAAGAGAAGGAAAATGACTTGTCCACACAGAGGCAGGTCTGAGTCTAGAACCCCAGCTTCTAAACTTCCAGGCCAGTGCATTGGTTCTCAAATGAGATTAAGTGAGATGAGGCATGTAAAGGTGTCTGTGTGGGCTGTAATACCTAATACCATTATCACATTATCACGCATTACTAAGATCATTTTCATTTTTTCTGCTTCCTGGGGGAAGCCACAGAGAGGCTGACCTTCAGCCTCCTTTACCTGGGTCAGTGATCAATGCCAAGGAAAGTCCTGGGAGCTCAAGGCCTAGGTAGAAGAGACCAGGTTTGGAGCCATGCCATCCTGGTCCAGCCTCTTGACCTCTCCTGACCCTGAGCTCATGCTGGCTCTTGTCCCACCCCCTTCCCCCCCCCACATCTTCCATTCTCTCCCTGCCTCTCCAGTCTGCTGCATAACTAACCTAAGATCACATCTGGAATTCCCTTCTCCATGCTTTCTGTCACCTCCATGCTTTGAAGGCTTCTACCTGTGTCTTTCCTACGGGCAATGCAGCAAAGCTACCTGAGCATCTGTGGTGCACCAGGCACTGAGTCTCCAGGCCCTGCCTCCCCTGGACTCCCTTCAGAGATGGAGCATCTCTGTACTCGTGAACTTACCCCCACTGTCCCCTGTCCCTCCTCATCTATGCCCTTTCCTGCCTTCCTTGACCAAAGCTCCCTTTGAGGTCAGAAAAGGGTTGCCCTAGACCATGGGTGCTATAGATAGAGATGACTCTCCTAAGCCCTGGACTGCTGGTGACAGCCACCTCACCCTCACTCCTGCAGGAGGGGTCAAGTCAGAGGCCACAGTGATTTCTGGAGCTATATTCCTGGTAGCTGAGTGTTCTTGCTCTAGAAGTTCAAAGTCAGCAAAGGCTGTGAGCCCAGCCAAGATGTGTTTCAGGCACCTCATCCCTATCCTACTTCTTCCCAGCAAACTCCTCTAGAAAGTGTCAAGAATTTCTATTTCTGCTCCACTTCCTGGATTTCACTGAGGTCAGAAGTCAAAAAACTTGGAACCAAATCCTCTGCCATCAAGTTGATTCCTACTTATAGTGACCCCGTGTACTACAGACTAGAACTGTTTCATAGGATTTTCTTGGCTGTAACCTCTATGGAAGCAGACCGCCAGGCCTTTCTTGTGCAACACCACTGGGTGGGTTTGAACCACCAACCTTTCCATTAGTAGCCCAGAACAAACCGTTTGTGCCACCCAGGGATCTTTCAGAGGGCAAAGCAGGATTCAAAGTGATGGTAGTGGAGGAGAACTGACAGCTGTTGAGCATCTCTTGGGCACCAGCCACTGTGGTGGGTGCTTTACATGCATTTGCTCATTTAATCCTAAAGTTTTAGGCAGGTTTGGGAAGGACAATGATTGCCAGCCAGGTACGGTTTTACCATTTCCAAAGCACTTATCCCTTCTGTGATTATAACCTGACCCTGTGAGATAAGCAGAGCAAATATTATTCTTCCCATTTTATAGATTAAGAAACTGAGGCTAAGAGGCTGGCCTAAGATCACACAGCTAGCAGATACTGGAGCCAAGATTTGAACTCAGGCCTTCTTGTTCAAAATCCCATGATTTTTCCACTCAGAAGTCAAGAGAGACCAGGTCTGCACTGAAGCAAGTCCTAGGCTTCTCCTAGGAGCCCCTGGCAAACCGGAGCATCCAACTCAGTCTGCCCTGCCCAGCCCACTGTCTTGTGGTAGGAACAGAGCCTTGGGGAGGACAGTAGCAGGGTCAAGAGGAAATGACAAAGAGCACAGGGCTGGTTTCTCCCCTTGAAGAGCTCCAAATCTGGAGCAGATGGAGGTCAGAGTAAAAAAAAAAAAAAACCTCACTACTGTTGAGTCAATTTGACTCCTAGCGACCCCTTCTTGGATTTCTGAGGCAGTATCTCCTCAGAAGTAGATTGCCCAATCTTCCTTCCAAGGAATAGCTACTGGATTTGAACCCCCAGCCTTCTGGTTAGCAGTCAAACGCTTTAGGCACTATGCCACCAGAACCCCCATGGAGCTCAGACACACCCCAAATCAGATGGCAGCAAAATAGCATGGAGGCCAATGAGCAGATTTCCAGGTTCCTAAGCTGGGACAGACAAGACTCTGAAGTGAGGGGAGCAAGTAGCTGACCCCTGGGTTCCAGCAGCATTCATTCCTGCTGTGTGCTGAATGACTTTGTACCTGCAAATGTTGCTTTGATGTTGTTTTGTATCTTTAAGATGTGAGACTGTATGTATACAATGCCTCCCAGATAGATTATAAAACCTTTGGAGTCAGGGGTCCTTCCAGTTCTGCCATGGCATTCTTTGATCTGCCTTCCCTCATGTGTCTTGTCTAGCACACTACTCTGCATATAGTAAACACTCAATAAAATGCTCATTTGATTAGCGAATTTGCCAGTGCTTTTTCTTCCACTTGGAAATGGTCAATACAGTTCAATGTGCCAGAAGACAGACTGGCATACAGTGAGTTCCCCAGTGCCAAGCTGCTATTAGGAATGATGCACAGGGGCTTTCAATACTGAATAAGAAGCTGAACCAGGAGGCCTATGGGGACAAATTCCACTTCCTTTGAGGGAAGGTCCAACCTGGCCGAAATGGGCATCTCAGGCTTAGGGATGCAGGTGGCACAGTGGAGAGGGCACTGAGACACGGGCAGGCTGTGTGTGGCCTCCAGAAAGCAGAGAGCTTTCCCTTTGAGTCCTCCTCTCCTTCAGCCCCCACATTGACTGCAGCAATGTGGGAAGTCAGGTCCATGACCTCCAGGGTCTTAGACAACACCTAACACTCAACTTGTCTAAAACTGACTTCCTGATCTGTCCCAAAATCTGCTCCTCCCCACCTCAGGTAAGGGCAACTCTATTTTCCCAGTTGCTCAGGCCAAAAACTTGAAGTCATCCTTGGCTCTTCATTCTCGCACATCCCATGTGAGATCCATAGGGATGCCCGATCAGTTCTATCTTCAGAATGGATCCAGAATCCCCTCACTCTCACCACTTTCCCTGCCTCCATCAGGTCCAGGCCAGCATCTCTCCCTGGGTTACTGCAGTGGGCACTATACCAGCCTCTACAGCCTTAGTACAGCAGTAGAGTGATCATGTTAACAACTTTATCAGAACACATCCATCCTCTGCCCAATGTCTTCCTCTTTCTCTTTAAGCCCACAGTCTTTACAGTGGCACTAGGTCCTATATGATGTGCTCACCTCTGCTGCCTCCCTGTCCTCATCTCCCAAACGTTCCCCCTTGTTCAGTCTGCTCCAGCAACACTGGTTGTTCCCTCTGCCTGGAATGTTCTTCCCCTGAGGCCTGCATGGCTCCTTCCTGCTCTTCCTTCAAGTCTGCTCAAATGTCCCTTTCTCAATAGGCTCTTGACACCTCTTTTAAAATTACCTGTTGTTGTTGTTGTTGTTGTTATTTAACATCGAGTCAGCCCCAACTCATAGCGACCCCTCCTTGGGTTTCCGAGGCAGTATCACTACGGAAGTAGGATTGCCTAACCTTCCTTCCGAGGAGTGGCTGGTGGGTTTGAACCGCCAGCCTTCTGGTTAGCAGACAAGTGCCTTAGGCACTATGCTACCAGAGCTCCTAAAATTACCCTGTTGTTGTTGTTGTTATGTGCCGTCGAGTCGGCCCCGACTCATAGCGACCCCTCCTTGGGTTTCCGAGGCAGTATCACTATGGAAGTAGGATTGCCCAACCTTCCTTCCGAGGAGTGGCTGGTGGGTTTGAACCGCCAGCCTTCTGGTTAGCAGTCAAGTGCTTTAGCCACTATGCTACCAGAGCTCCTAGACATCCCCTATTCCTACCATAGCATGCCCAGTCTCCCTTAACAACTGTTTCCATAGCACATATCAGATTCTATCATACGATATAATTTGCATATGTCCATTGATTACTGTCTATCTCCTTTCACTAGAATATAAGTTCCACAAGGGTGGAGATTTTTGTCTGTTTAGCTCACAGCTTTACCCTCAATGCCTAGAACAGTATATGGCACATAGTGTTTGTTCAGTGAATCTTTGTGGGATGAATGGCTTTTTCCTAACATGGGGGATATGTGGAACCCCAGAGGCATCACCTGATCCCAGTGACCTTATCATTTCTACTCACAGTCCAGCAGCCATGACCCCTCAATTTCTCCCAGGGAATTCAAGGGTCCCTATATCAGGACAGAAGCCCTGGTGACATAGTGGTCAAGTGCTCGGCTGCTAACCAAAAAGGTCTATGGTTCAAAACCACCAACTGCTCCACCAAAGAAAGATGTGGCAGTCTGCTTCTGTAAAGATTTACAGCCTTAGAAATCCTATGAGGTGGTTTACTCTGTCCTATAGGGTGCTCTGGTGGTGTAGTGGGTAAGGCATTTGACTGCTCACCAGGTCAGTGGTTCAAACCCCCCAGCCACTCCACCGAAGAACAATAAGGGAGTCTGCTTATGTAAAGATTTACAGCCCTGGAAACCCAATGGGGGGTCGCTGTGAGTCAAAATCAACTCAATGGCAGTGAGTTTGGTTTAGTTTTGCTAGAGTTGTTAAAAGTCAGAATTGACTTGATGGCAATGGATTTTTTTAGTATCAGGAGAGAAAGAGAAAGGACTGTCCGGAAAGACTCTAATCACCTTCTCACCTGCTACAAATAGGGAGATCCTCCCCAAGCCCAGGAAAGTTCCAGGGAGACTCTTGGGACTCTGGGCAGGGCAGAGTGCTCGGAGCAAAAACAATTCCAGAAATGGGAGATCCAGTAGTATTTGTGACAAGCCAGGCACAGAGTGACTCTGATGTTTAGAGAGACGTAAGGGGCCTCAGGCACAGACCTGGAAAACTAAGTAGCTACTCCCTCTGACTCCCTGAACAGATTGGCTCTCGTTCTTCAGCTACCTTAGGCCTACTCCTCATGACCAAGCCTGCAATTGGCAGCTCATGGTTCCCATCTCTTGAGCATGGGTTTCCTCACAGGTAACTTGGAATCAGATCACACATTGGGGGCCAAAGACCTTTGTGAGCTGCAAAGGACTGAGCTCAAATCCTCAGGTGAGGTTTCCCCTGATGGCCCAGCCTCCTGTGCGCGGCACTCGGTCATTCCCACTCCAAGATGATAGAGTTTGACATCTCTGGATTCACAGAGACAGTGTCTCCAGAGAGAGGATGAGGAAGAAGGTGGAAGGGTGCAGAGTGGGGGCAAGTTCAACAGGGAAGGTCTTGACCCCCAAGGGCCCTGTTGTCATCAGGGTCATCGTCCCTGTCTGGGGTAGGCCCACCCCAAACCCTGAGCCCCAGGCCCAGAAGAAAATAAATCCTGAATACAGCTGCTATGCTCTGCTGGGAGCAAGGCCCCAAACCATACAAGAAAGGACAGATGGACCTCCTGCCTTACACAGAGAGATGGGGAGGCACAGCTGCTCCAGCAGGAAATGCCAGAGCAAATCGGAAACAATAGCAGGGGTTTCTTTGGCCCCTGTTTTCTTTGGCCTCTTAGTTGTCACAGAGCCCAGACCTTGCTCTTCCAGGTCCTTGGCTTTCCTCTGGGCCCCTCCCCTCAGCCCCTGCCTGACAGAGGAGGCACGTGTTCTCTCCTCCAGCCAGGAGCCGTCCCTCCAGCTTAGCACTACACAGAACTCTCAGTGAGATTTTAAAATTATAATCACAACACAAGGAAACTTGACTGAGCTTTGCCAGGTGCCAGGCACTGTGCTAATTCCTTCTCAAACAGTGTGGGGGAGGGAGTGGTCTTTAGTGCAGCTCCTCTGCAGGGTCTCCAGGGGGTGGGTCGTGGCCTCTCCTCCAAGTCCTGAAGAGCCCTCCAGTCTCATTCCCCACGTGCCAAAACCGGGAATAGGAAGAGGGAGGGGTAGGAGGGACAGAGAAGTTGGGCCCCGGTTGTCACCAAGTCTGAGTGGACTTCACCTGTCCAGGTGGGGGAGACTGAAAACGGTACATGTAAGATAGACAGACATGGGAAATGAGGCAGAGACAGGCAGGAACAAAGAAAGGTACAGAAAGGAGAAGAGCCCAAGGAAAGGTGAAAGGGAGAGAGGGGAGATGCATAGAGAGATTTAGACAGAGAGGGGGACAGGGAAGACATGAAGACTAAGGCTAAGACTGAAAAGGAAAGAAGGGGAACAAACAGAAATTGAGACTGTGAGAGAGAGCAAGGAAGAGAGGGATCTAGAACCTAAAAGAATGAGACACAGAGAGTAAGAAAGAGAGAAAGAGAGGGAGTCTGAGAGAGACAGAGACAGGAAGAAAGAGACTGAAGGAGAAAAAGAGAAGAAAAGGCAGCAATTGAGAGAGGGAGGGAAACCAAGCTGAGTGAGGGTTTGAAAGAGGAGGAATACTGCAGCCAGCGGGATGGTGGGGGCTTCCGGCATGGAGGCAGGACTTGGTAAGGGAGGTCTGCCAGCTCACGCCAGCTCCAGGGTCGAGTCCCAGGACCTCTTCCCTGACCCAAAGCCAAGCCAAGCCCGGTTGTGCCCTTCCTCTGCTGTCTACAAGGGGAATACCAGCACCACCACCCGCCCCGCGGGGATTCGCCGGGATCTCCAAAAATGAGGAGGGTTAGCACAGACGTCGGGAGACCGCGCCGAGAGACCCTCTCTCTGCCGGCCGCCGCCTCCACCGGGGACCGCCTGGCTACTGGGCGTCGAGGATTGCCAAGCGCCGAGCAGGCTGGCACAGCGCCTACTTTTCCCAACGTCTCTTGTTGAATCCCGGAGACCCGCCCGGCCCGGGGAGAGGCCCACGGTGGCCGGACCGCCCTGCACTGCCCAGCCTGGTTGCCCGCCCCCGCCATCGCGGGCAGGGAGCTAAGTGGCTTTGTCCTCAGAGGAGCACATCACTTCAGCGCAGCCTGAAGTGAGGCTGGGTCAGGATGCCCGGGTCCCAGGAGGAAAAGGAGGAGCTGGACCGACTGCCCGAAGAGGAGAAAAGGGGAAGACCAAGGACTGAGATAAAGGCCCAGAGGAGGTAGACGGCTGGAGTTCGCACCGGGAGCGCAGACCAAGCAAAGCCTCCCAGCCAAGCCCGGGAGCGAGCGCGGGAGCTGCCGGAGCGCACCATGCGCGGGTCCCGGGCCGTGGGGCC